TAGAGTTTTCTCCAAGGAAGATATACAAATATCCAATAAGCCCAAGCAAAGCTCCTCAGCATCACGAATACTTAGAGATATGCAAATCAAAACCACAATGTGACACCACCTCACACACTTTAGGATGGCTTTGATAAACAACAATGACAGCAACACAAAACAACAAGTGTTTTCAAATAAAAGGAAAATCGAGTTCTAGTGTATTGCTGATGGGAATGGGAAATGTTATAGCCACTGTAAAAGGTGGTGTGGCTGTTTCTCAAAATTTAAAACAAATTACCATTTAATCCAGCAATTCCACTTCTGGACATACTCCCCACAGAATTGAAAGAAATGTGAACAAATATTTGCACATTGATGTTCAGAGAAGCATTACACACAATAGCTAAATGGAAACAATGAAAAGTCCATTGAAAGATAAGTGGGTAGGGAAATGAGGTATATCTATACATCGAAATATTATTCAACCTTAACAAGGAATAAAATTCCAATACATCGTGCAAAGTGGATGAACCTTGAAGACATTATGCTAACTGAAATAAGCCAGACACTTAAAGGATAATTATTCTATAATTCCATTTATAAAAGATAAAATAGCCAGCTAAGTATAGAGACAGAAAGTAGAATGGTGGGTTCTAAGGGTTAGGGGGAGAAGGACTGAGAGTTACTGTTTATAGGGTACAGAGGTTTAATATGGTGAAAGGAAAAAGTTCTGGAAATGGATAGTGTGATGGTTACACAACACTAAATTGCACATTTAGAAATAGTTAATGATAAGACTTATATTGGATATATGTAAAGTGTCCTGGGTAGTCTTACTCCTTATAAATACACACTTTTTGGCATAGCCCCTTTCCTGCCATGCAGAGCCCTGAGGTGAATCTCCCTATTCTCTTCAAGTGTGCATCACTTCACTGAAACCTCTCTGTGCTGTGTCCCACATGCAGTGCCCACAGCCTCATAGAGCCGGTGACTTCAGAGCCAGGACACAGCTCAAGAGTCTGCTCCTGAGGCTTTTCTAATTTCTGCAGCCTAGGCTTTACTTCAACTGACAGCTCGATGAAGCCGACCCAGGACAGGCCACCAGGCTCTTTCTCCACACATGCTGGTCCCACACCAGGTGGAGTCAGGCAGGGCCAGTCACCGGAGAAGACCGGAGCAGATTAGGGGGAGCGGCCTGAGCTGCTCCTCTCATCCAAGGGGCTTCTCCTCTCATTTGGGGGAAAATGTGAGTTTGTTTCAAAGCCCTGATGCTCCTTGTAGCTCATGCAGTAGAGAAAAAATAAAGATGTGGCAGAAAGTGATGTGTTGGTGACAGCGAGAAGCAACTTGACCTTGAGGACTCTCCTTCTTGTCCCTCTGTGAAGCCTCTTCACTATTACAGGCCCAGGGCTGACAAAGCCCTCCCTACCTTTCAGCTGGACACAAAGCGCTATGAAAACAAGGAGAGTCCGTAGAGACAAATTGGGAGGGTTCAGGAGGAGAATTTAGGATTTGCTTCTGCCAATGGGCCACAGGCTGGGAATTAAAATGTTTTCTGGCCCTCTGAGTCAGATAGACCCACCTAAAACCCTGTTGCCAGTGATGGATCCACTTACCAGAGACTTGGATCGCTCTGAATGTGGAACTTGCCGCTGCCAGTGGCTAAGTTACGAGCGAGCAACCATAGATTCCGCTATGCTTGTAGTAATTGTGGATAGAGAGCTCTGTCCTGATTGCAGAAACTTCCCATTCATCGTCCAAGAATACTCTGCCGGTGGGTTAGAGTCCGCGAAGCAGTACAAGTAGAGTTTTTCTCCTGAACGGAAGAGGGGGATGAAGACAAAATGCTGGGGATGTGGACCATCTGGAGTAAAGAGAATAAAGTCACAGGTGATGTCATCTGAAGGAAGGGGATGTTCCTGGTCTCTTAAAGGACACAATGTCCTCTGAGCCAAGACACACCTCAAGGCCCCAGCCAAACCGCTCCTGTGTCTACTGGGCCGAAGCCTGAGGTATTCTCCTGTTTCTCCCATCACAGGCTGTAGACTCCAAGTCTCCCATGACAAGAGCATCTCTCCCCTTATATTTTTGTTTAAGGCTGTGTATACCCAGAATTTTCCAGGGTGGGAGTCATGGCCAGCCCTGGTGTCCAGAAATAAAAGTGTCTGTACTTGGACCTGAGACAGTCTGAGAGGCCTGGGCCTGTGTTCATTTGGATTTAGCGGGTGGCCTGGTTCACACAAAACCAAAGATACAGTGACATCCAGTGTGACTGGGTCACTGGGGTGCTACCAACTTTGATCCCATATTTCACATTCATAGGGGCCTGTGTCATTTCTGTGACATTGCCTAGAATGAGGATCCTCTTATCACCGGGTTGCTTTAACCTGGGACTGTGGATAACAGAGATTGTCCTGTGGCACTGATTCTCCCACAGGCATCCTTCAATCAGAGCACCATCTCCCACCTCAGCCCACCCGAGTCCTTGAAAGTCAATAGCTGTGTGTGTGTCACGAGACAGATGCATGATGATCTAAGGCTCAAAGACTGTGAGGCCACCTGCTCTGTCTTAGGGAAGCACAGACTTTCTCAAGAGCAATTGAGCAGCAGTGTTGGGTCATGGACAGATACATCAGTGGGAGTCACAGTCCCTCATACACCTCCCAGTCCCTCTCTAATCAGCTGACTGGCTGGCTCACCTTGGGTTCCTTACCTGGAGTGTGCAACTGCTGGGCCCTTTCCAAATCGATCCCTACTTTGCCCCCCAGATGTGATTTCTACGGCTTCATTTCCAAGGTTATCTCTAGAGATGAGTAACAGTGGACTTCCTGTTGTCCTGAAACCCTGAAGATACTGAGCAGCCTGGCCTGGGACTGGATGTTTCAGCAGAAAGAAGACAGGGAGACTATGAGTCACCCGGGAGGTCAGTTCAGTCATTAGGCCGTGGAGGCAAGGTGTGGGCTTTCTGGCAAGTGCTCATGATGACTCACTCTTGGTCATGACCCTGCACACAAGACAAGATGCATGAATGACCTCAGAAAGAGTGAAGGGACAGGCAAGAGCTGGTGGTTTGGGAGCAGAACCATGTTCCTGTTCGGGTTCTTTAAGTTTCCTCTTCTCCTTCTGCAGAGGGTGTGAGGACTAAATGGATCTTTCCAGAAATACATGTGGACATTTGCAAATGCAGAACGGACTGGTGGAAAGGGTGGGAATGAACTGGCTGAAATCTGGTCCTCGTGGACCATACGTGTTTGATGGATATGAGACAAATTTGGGGAGAAATTTGAAACATTTTCTTCATTGACCTCTACTCCGATCTCCAAGGGTTTGACTACCTAGGACATCATGTAAGTGGATTCCAGAGTGAATCTGAGAAGACTCTGGTTGCCAAGAGCTGGGAGTGGGGAGAATCAGAAGTTATTCACGGGTGTGCAGTTTCAGTTATGCAAGACGGGGAGGTTCTAGAGATCTGCTGTACAGCTCGATGCCTATAGTTCACACAGATTGAGTGTTTCTTGCGTATAAGACTTAGGACAAAAAGTGTTTGATTTCTGACATTTTGGATTTCCCCAAATATTGTCACATACTTTCTGGTTTAGCATCCCAACTTCGTGATCTGTAAATCTAAAATGCTCCAGTGAGTATTTCTTTTCAGCATCACATTAGTCATAAAAAGTGAGGTGATAGGCTAAACACATTTGCCTTTTTTTTCTCTCACCACGTTTCTAGCTTGGTGATTAGTTTTTGGTCAATTCCACACTGGCCATGCTGCACTTGTATGCTTTTAGCTTGGGACAGGTGACAATGATTGCTATTTTCATGTCATGAACACTTTCCACCTTCCATGTTTGCATCTTTTTCTCAGTGTCTCTGTTGTGGCAGTCATCAGTAAGAGCCTGTCAGGTCAGATTTAGGACAGATTTTTGTAATTCTGCAAAAAAATGTTTCTGGATTCTGGTAGGGGTTAAAGAATCTGCAGTCTACTTTGGGTAGTATTGTCATCCTAACAATATTGATTTTTCCAGTCCATGAAAATGAAATGTCCTCCCACATATTGATGTCATTCAATTTCATTCAGTAAAGATTTGTAGTTTTCAGGTATAACCTTTAGACCTTTTTTGGTTAAAACTTACTCCAAAATATTTTATTCTTTTGATGTTAATGACAATGGAAATTCTTTTCTGAATTTCCTCTCACATTGCTCATTGTTACTGTATAGTCAAAGAATGATCTAGAAAGTGAGCATGGGAAAAACTGGTGGTTTTCGAGCAGAAACATATTCTCGTCCTGGGTTTTTTATTTTCCTCTCCTTAGCAGAGGGCAGGTGGCTCTTTCCTGATAGCCAGATAGACTTCACTGGAAAACATATTGCCAGTGCTCCAGGGATCCACTTACCAGAATTATGATCCTCTTGATTATGAGATTTAATTCCACCAGTGACTGAGGCTATGCATGAAAACAGACACAGACCCTCTATGTTTCAAAGTGATTTGAGAGAAATACTTGTGTTGATTGTTGGAATCTCTTTATCAATCAGCTAAGAATGCTTGCCAGTGGGTGAGAGCTCAGGAGGTGAGAGTTTGGGATTGATGGTAAATAGGTATATGAAGAAGAAATGGTGGGGGCATCCAGTGATATCTGGAGCAAAGAAAATAAAGTCACAGCTGATGCTGTCAGAGGGAAGGGAAAACTTGTCTGTGGAAGGGCCACAGTGACTCTGTGAGCTAAGTCACAACACTGAAGTCCCAGACAAATCCCTTACAAATACTGATCTGGAGCCTGAGACATTCACCTACTTCTCCCATCATAAACTGTGGACCCTGAGTCTCCCATGACAGGAGCAGCCTCTTTCTCTCCCATTGCATCAAGCCTGCTTCCATTTAGGACTTATGCCAGCTTTTGATATCCGGGGATAAGGGTCTCTGTACTTGCACCTGAGAGGGTTCGGGGAGGCCTGGCCTCTGGCCATGTGTATTTGGGATGGCAGCCTGGCTCACAGAGGAACAGAAGATACTCACAGAGGAGACTCAGCATGACTGGGTCACTGGGTGGCTGAACTCCTGGGTTCTTCATTTCACATTCATAGGGTCCTGCAGTATCCTTTGTGACACCAAATAGACTGAGGGTCCTGTTGTTTTTGGACAGTTGCAACCGGGACTCATAGGGAGTCTCTGACCATTTATCCACCACAGGTAGCTTACATCCTGAGTGTCAGGATCACAGGATAAGATCACAGTCTCCCGTGCCCCTCCCTGGGGTTTGCTGCTGGAGATGAGGGCTTGGGAGTCTCCACTGTGCAGATAACAGAGAGAAGATTGTCCTATGTGGTACCTTTGATTCCTCCAAAGACATTTTTCAATCAGAGATGGCATTTCCCACTTCAGCCCACCCAAGTCCTTAAAACCCCATGGCAGGTATGTGTGTTACAAGACAGATGCATGGCAATCTGAGGGCTCAGAGATTGTGAGGTTGCCTTCTTGTAAGGGGGAGAAGCACAGACTTTCGGGCGTAATTGGAGCAGCATCTTTGCATCATGGAAAAACATGGGTTCAGCAGTCAGAGCCCCTGGGAGTTTCCCTTCTGAGTCCTCTCCTTTCTCCAACTGCCTGCCTGGCCCACCTTGTGATCCTCACCTGGAGCATGCAGTGCTAGAATCTTCTTAGTTTCAGTCTTACTTGTTCCTGCTGTATGTTTTCTTCTGCAGCTTCCTTTCCAAGGGCATCCTAGAGATCTGATGATGGAACTTCCCATTGTCCTTAGGCCCTGGGTAGTGGGAAACTGACTGGGACTGGGTACTTCAGCGAAATAACACAGGAGACCAGAGTCAAGCCTGGAGGTCAATTCAGTCATCAGGGAGTGGAGCAACAAGGTGGGGCAGTTTTCCCAGCTGTCTCATAGTGACTGACTTGAGCCAGTGACTCCTAAAGATAGAGCAGAGTCCAAGGAATGGACTCTACAAAGAGTGAAGGGGACAGGCAAGAGCTGATAGCTTTGGACCGAGACCATGTTTTTCTGTGGATGATGTCCTGTGTCCACGATGTTCCCTTCCCCTGTAGAGAGAGGCAGGTGAGGAATTATGTGGATCTTCTAGAAATACATGTGGATGTTTGCAAATGCACAACTGATCAGTGGAAGCACGAGCATGAACCGGCGATGGAAGCCTGGCCCTCATGGACCATATGTGTTTGGTGGCTCTTAGACCAATATTTGGGAAGAAGTCTTGCAGATATTTTCTCAGTAGACATTCTACTTCTGATTCTGTGAGTTTGATCACTTATGTACTCATCTCAGTGGATTCCAGTGAATCAGAGAGTAAGCAGAATAGTAGTTTCCAGGAGCTGGGGTGAGGGGAATAGGGCATTGTTCCATGGGTGTGCGCTTTCAGTTATGCAGATGAGGAGGTTCTTGGTGAGACTCTGTAGATCTTCATACCTATAGTTCATACAGATAAAGTGTTCCTTATGCAGAAAACTTAAAACCAGGTGTTTTGGAGTTCCAACATTTTTAATTTTGGAATATTTGCAGATGTAGCTGGGTTAGCATCCCACATCTGAAAATTTTAACTAAAATGCTCCTGTGAGTACTTTTAGCACCATATCAGTGGTCAGAAGTGTTGATTTTGGTGCATTTTCAGATTTTGGATTTCTGGATTTGGGATGCTCAATTTGTAATATTGTAATTTTCCCATAAAAAGTTGTCAGATTTTAGACCTTTATGTTACGATGTGACTCTAGTAACAAAACAAAACAAAACAAAATTTGAAGGAAACATTAAAATGTTGTCATCAGTGGAAATTTCTTAATGATGGTCCAAACATCTAAGATCAATTGCTGTAGTAGTATTTCTCTTGATACCCAATTAAGGTTTAGGTGTGTAATTCCAGCAATCACATTATGCCCAAAGAAAGATGCCAAAGGTGAGTAGAAGAGACCCGTTGAGGTTGACAGAACTTGTCAGTGTGTCAATTACAAAAAGGGAGGAATGATGCTGAATTAAAAAGCATGATGTGTGTTATGTTAGTAAATATAGAAAGAACTCCCTGTTTCTAATTTCTGTGCAGAGTTAGGAAAAAATGGGAGGAGCCCAGAACAGGTATGCAAGTGCTGTTTCTATTTTCTCTCAACCTCAGGAAATACAACTAGAGCTTCAAGTTTGTGTGAATTAAGAAGAGTCTATGAGATGCCATTGGGTCATGTGTCCCCTCTACACGAAGAATCCCAACTTATGAAAAATGGCATCATCATGAAGAAACAATGGAATGTGGCCCAGGCAGGAAAACCATCAGATAGCACCCCCTGGCCACCTCCAACAGGTCCCCGAACCCAGCAGTATTCCCATTATGTGAATGGTACAGCCTTGGTAGTTGTCCCATAACTACAAAACTTAAAATTGCTATTGTCAATACAAAATGAAAAATATGGTTGGAATATATTGCTCCATTTTTCTCCTACTCCTTTTGAATAAACATTCCTGTTTCATTTTTGAAGTTTCTATTGACACATCCTCAAGCTAGGGATTCTTCTCAGCTGTGTGCATTCTACCAGTAAGCATCAAAAGCATTCTTCATTTCTCTAACAGCATTTTTTTTCTGAGATGGAGTCTCGCTCTATTGCCCAGGCTGGAGTGCAGTGGCATGATCTTGGCTCATGGCAAGCTCTGCTTCCCGGGTTCATGCCATTCTCCTGCCACAGCCTCACAGTAGCTGGGACTACAGGCACCCGCCAGCACGTCCCAGCTCATTTGTTTGTATTTTAGTAGAGATGGGGTTTCACCGTGTTCGTCAGAAGGTCTCACCTCCTGACCATTGCGGGATCCGCGACGCCTTGGCCTCCCAAAGTGTTGGGATTACAGACGTGAGCCTCTATGCCTGGCCATCTCTGAGGTATTTTAACTAGTTGTGGACTTTTGAGTTTGTTCAACTGTTTACTTACTGTTAGAACCGAGTGACAAATTTCAAGCTTGTTATATGCCTGACAGGAAACCAGAAGTCTCTAGGAAGTGACTGGAGAATGTGAGCTCCATAGTAGGTTGAGGATGGAGTCACGAGGGAAATGGGTGAAATCAGCCCATGGACTTTGGAGACTACAAGCCTGTCCAGCCTCTGACACCCTGGTGAGTCAGTGCAAAGATTACAACAGTGACAGTAAACTAGCATGGTTGACTCCATCTGGCATCTAGTCTCAGGCTGGCTGTCCTCATCATTCCTGACATAGGCCAGGCTAACCATGGAGGAATTTACTTTATAGTTTAACTTTGAAGAAACAATGATAATAGTTCCTCGATAACACTAATACCCTTATTTTGCTCAGGGATTGCCTTTGCAAAACTGGTGAAAGACCGTGAGAGTAAGATTATAGGAGCAGTGAATTTGCCAAAATGTAGAGCACAGTTTCTATAATCCTCTTACTGCTCAAATATCATCTGCCCAGAATTTACAAATTCGTAATCACTGTTTACAGATAACATCATTATTGTAGAACCTGAGATTGGTCTTCTGAGGAGTTTCCTCATTCTTGCATTCTGGCAAGCCGCTGATCTCATCCATACCCATGACTAATGGCTTAGCCAGTCACGTGGTCCCCACTTAGAGTCAGATTCAAGTACAAACAGATCATTTCCCTCTGCCCCCGTGATTCCATCCCCAAACAATCAGCAGTACTGATTTTTATCCTGTGCCTTCAAAACTATGTTGAATATCTCTGTCTAATGTTGACAGCTGGTACCATTCCTTCTGAAACTATTCCAATCAATATAGAATCCTCCCTGACTCATTTTATGAGGCCAACATCATCCTGACACCAAAGCCCGCAGACACAACAAAAGAGAATTTTAGACCAATATCCCTGATGAACATCGATGCAAAAATCCTCAATAAAATACTGACAAACTGGAATCTAAACAGCACATCCAAAAGTGATTCACCATGATCAAGTGGGTTTATCCTGATGCAAGGCTGGTTCAACTCTACACAAATCAATAAACGAATCCAGATATAAACAGAATCAAAGACAAAATCACATGACTATCTCGATAGATGAAGATAAGGCCTTGGACAAAATTCAAAAGTTCTTCATGCTGAAAACTTTCAATAAATTCTATATTGATTGAACGTATTCCAAAATAATAAGAGCTATTTGTAACAAACCCACAACCAATATCATACTGAATGGGCAAAAACTGGAAGCATTCCCTTTGAAAACTGGCACAAGACAGGGATGCCATCTCTCACCACTCCTATTCAACATAGTGTTGGAAGTTCTGGCTAGGGCAATCAGGCAAGAGAAGAAATCAAGGGTATTCAGTTAGGAAAAGAAGAAGTCAAATTGTCCCTTGTTTGTAGATGACATGATTGTATATTTAGAAAACCCCATTGTCTCAGCCCAAAACCTCCTTAAGCTGATAAGTAACTTCAGCAAAGTCTCTGGACACAAAATTAATGTGCAAAATCACAAGCATTCTTATACACCAGTAACAGACAAACAGAGAGCCAAATCATGAATGAACTTCCATTCACAATTGCTTCAAAGAGAATAAAATACCTAGGAATCCAACTGCAAGGGGGTGTAAAGGACTCTTCAAGGAGAACTACAAACCACTGCTCAGTGAAATAAAAGAGGACACAAACAAATGTAAGAACATACCATGCTCATGGATAGGAAGAATCAACATCGTGAAAATGGCCATACTGCCCGGGCTGCAATTTTATAGATTCAATGCCATCCCATCAAGCTACCAATGACTTTCTTCACAGAATTGGAAAACTACTTTAAAGTTCATATGGAACCAAAAAAGAGCCTGCACTGCCAAGACAATCCTAAGTCAAAAGAATGCTGAGGCATCACGCTACCTGACTTCAAACTACACTACATGGCTACAGTAACCAAAACATCATGATACTGGTACCAAAACAGAGATAGGAGATTGGAACAGAACAGAACCTCAGAAATACTACCACAGATCTACAGCCATCTGAACTTTGACAAACCTGACACAAACAAGAAATGGGGAAAGGATTCCCTATTTAATAAATGGTGCTGGGAAAATTGGCTAGCCACAAGAAGAAAAGCTGAAACTAAATTCTTTCCTTACTCCCTTATACAAAAATTAATTCAAGATGGATTAGAGACTTAAAAGTTAGACCTAATACCATAAAAAACCTAGAAGAAAACCTAGGTAATACCATTCAGGACATAGGCATGGGCTAAGGCTTCATGTCTAAAACACCAAAAGCAAAGGTAACAAAAGCCAAAATTGACAAATGGGATCGAATTACAACAAAGAGCTTCTGCACAGCAAGAGAAACTATCATCAGAGTTAACAGGTAAATCTACAGAATGGGCAACAATTTTGCAATCTACGCATCTGACAAAGAATTAATATCCAGAACCTACAAAGAACTCAAACAAATTTACAAGAAAAGAAAAAACAACCCCATCAAAAAGTGGGCAAAGGATATGAACAGACATTTCTCAAAAGAAGACATTCATACAGCCAACAGACACATGAGAAATGCCGTCATCACTGGCCATCAGAGAAATGCAAATCAAAACTATAATGAGATACCATCTCTCACTGTGCTAGAATGGCAACTATTATGTCAGAAAACTACAGGTGCTGGAGAGGATGTGGAGAAATAGGAACATTTTTACACTGTTGGTGGATTGTAACCAGTTCAACTGTTGTGGAAAACAGTATGGCGATTCCTCGGTCTAGAACTAGAAATACCATATGACTCAGCCATCCCATTACTGGGTATATACCCAAAGGATTATAAATCATGCTGCCTTCAAAGACAGCATGCACACGTATGCTTATTGCACAAGTATTCACAATATAAAAGACTTGGGAATCAACCCAAATGTCTATCAGTGAGAGACTGCATTAAGAAAATTTGGCGTATATACACCATGGAATACTATGTAGCCATAAAAAGGATATTCGTGTGCTTTTATAGGGACATGGATGCAGCTGAAACCATCATTCTCAGCGAACTATCGCAAGAACAGAAAACCAAACACCGGTGTTTTACTCATAGTGGGAATTGAACAATAAGATCACGCTGGACGGGAAGGGGAACATCACACATGGGGGCCTATTATAGGGAGGGGTTGGGGGTGGGGTTGCAATGATACATACCTGATGTAAAGATATTGATGGGTGCTGATTTAGTTGATGGGTGCAGCACACTAACATGGCAAATATATACATATGTAATGTAAACCTGCACACAGCACATGTACCCTAGAACTTAAAGTATATTTTTAAAAAAATTTTTTTAATTAAAAAGAAAATCTCTAACCCCTGATCCACTAGGAGGCTGATTTGAGTATTAATATACCTCCGTCCTCCTATTTGGCAGACTTGGAGTCATTAAAATCTTTCTTTACTGCAAATCACCATCTGGATAAATTGGTTTTGTTTGTGCAGGAGCTGTGAAGAACATGTCTGGGAATTATAAGAATGGATGGAGGAGCTGTCATCCCTGTCCTACGGTCTTGTGCACAGATCAGCCTCACAACAGGAAAGAGCCCTGGATGGGGATACAGTGGAAGTTTATTCTCTTAGTGACTTGTGGACATTGGCTCGAGATGAAGCCTGGCAGAGTGGAAACTGGTCAGTTTCCTTCATGCCTTTCCTATTACCTGGGAGGTGGACCATTCCACAGTGTTAACAGGAAGGAAATAGAAGGCAGCCTAGATAGAGGGAGTGTCTGGGGAAGGCCTAGGGTTGGAGGAAGAAGCTGTGCGGGGCAGGGCTTGCCAGTTAGAATGAAGTGGGAGGAAGATGAGGGACACAGAGAAGCAGAGAGAGGCAGAGATAGCATGGCAGTGAACAGTGGGGGCTACAGTGACTTCAGAGACCCCAGGACTAGGTGTCCCATTTCCACAGTCCAGAACCAGGAGCCCTGGAAAATCCTTCAGTGGCCAAAGGGTTTTTCACTTACATGAGGTGGGGGTGTCTTAGGGCAAGAGGTAGTGGGGGATGAAAGATGGGTGTCAGCCTTTGAAGGACAAGGGACAGGTAATTTCCAGACCTCCTAGGATTGTGCATCTGAGATCCAGTCTCTAAAGAGGTTATGGATCATTCATCTCTTCATTCAATTCCTTCATTTGTTATGTGAGAGCACCTGAGTGTGTGTCTCTCACTGGGCCTGTGCTGGTGCAGGGTGTGAGTGGGGAAAGAAAACAAGGTCCTGTCCTTTATCCGGTATACAGTGACATGGACACTTTGGGAAGCAGGATTTCAGGTTCAGTGATAGGGGTTAAGATCTGAGGGGGAGGCCTGGACATTTTTTGCACTGACTCTGACAGTTGAGGCAGGTGATCCAGTTCTGGAGCAAGGACTAATCAATGACTCATTTGCTCTCGCCTCCTCTGAGGTTTGGATGCCAAAGATGAGAGGATTTGAGCCAATAAATGATCACGGGACCTTGATCCCAGTAATTCCTCCACTTCTGGTGGAGGAGAGGATGGACCTGTAGCTGCAGACAGACCTCATGTGACCCTGATCTGCCTTTTGTGTTTGCCTGATTCTAGCCTGGGTGACTGTGCTTCCAGCTCAGCTTTCTCAGTCAAATAAGCTAAATGGCGAATGGACTGTGGCTTTTCATGCTATCTGTGAATACATTAAATCTTCACAGTCACCTGACCTAATGCTTGGCACATGGAGTGTGTTCACACAAACGCATTTATTATTATTCACTCATGAGAGAGCACCTTTAGGTCAGATCCTCAGGACAAGCTGCTGCCAGGCATACATTTTCTCTCTTTCTGTTTCTGCTTCTGTGACATTAGTTTTATGGAGGTCCCTGCCTCACAAGGCAGCTGACTGATGGCCTACAAAGCTTGTCTTTCTGTCCTCTCCACTCTGAGTCTCAGGTGAAGAAAGCTCTGTCCTTGCCCAGATGAGGCTCTGAGGGCTGAGCCCTGGTAGCGAGCAGCTCCAGGAGACACAGTCCTCAGACACCTGGTGAACTCTGTCCCAGTAAGCCCTGCCAAAACCCAGCCCCTGGCACAGGCTCCTCAGTTTATCTGGAGTAAGGATTTAGGACAGGGGTCTGGGTTGAGGGGTTTCTAGGGCTGAGCTTTTCTGAGAGTATCTCAGGGGGCCTCTTAGGCAAAGCCCTACCTGGGTTCTCCAGGGTCTTTTCTCAGGGTCAAGTTTATGAAGAGGACATGAGGTGCTTGGCTGAGACTAATTTCCTGCTGAGCACCGCCCTCCCCCATGAGACTGTCCTTCTGAGCAGCAAGTGTCTGCAGGGTCTGGAGGAAAGGAATTTCTGATCTGTTGAGGTTTGTTCTCCAGTGTGTCCTGCACTAAATGCCAAAACCCCAACATACATAATGCAGAGAGGGACACAGGCACAGTCCAGGCCTGACCATCCTGTGTGTGCAAAGTAGAAGTGACCCCCACCCCAACACTCAGGATCATGTGGAATCACTCACGCAGGTGTAATGTCCAGTTATTTCTTTTAATCTTATCACCTCGCTTTATAATTTGTATGGTGTAGGATCCTGTGTCCTTCCGGGTGACATTCTGAATCAGCAGGGATGCATTGGAATATACAGCTTTACCACTGTATGCAGGCCCAAATACAATCATTTCAGTGTCTATTACATATGATGTGATGTAATGGTGGACGTCCATTATTTGCCCTTTGTACCAGCTGTAGCCACAGATTCTGTGGGCAAATTAGACAAGTAGCAGAACATCCTTCCTCAGAAAGTTTGGTTGGCTGTGCTTCAATCGTGACTTGGGCAGTGGTGGGTGGTTCCAGAAGATTAAAAGTGATGCTAGAGGTGGAGAGAGCATCAGTCAATATTGAGACTTATGTATTGGGTAAAAAGATGGGGCCTTGGGTCCTGAGAAAATCTCTTCAATCATCAGCCTTGTAGACGATAGACACAAACACACACACCCCTTTTGTGTGTATGTGTGTTTCTTTGTCCTACTGTCCTACTGGGTCAAGGTCAGCAGCACGACCCCCATTCATTCAACACTTCTGACCTCGGCATTTTTCTCTTTGAAATCCCCTTTCCCCAGGTGTCTGCATGGCTCCCTCTCCTACACTCGGCCCTCAGGTTCTGCTCACATCAGGCGTCCCCAGACTCTTCATGACACCTCCTTCAGAGACCCTGGATCTTCCATTTCTGACCTTTCCTGCTCTGCTCTCCCGAGCTCTTGTCAACACCTGACCTCACATTCCAGATCTCTTTGCATGTCTGTCTTCCTGCCCATGAGAGCGTGAGTCTGTGAGGACAGAGACACTTGTGATCTTGGTTGCCCCAGTGTTTACAGGCTGCAGACTCCTGCAGATGTGAGGGTTCCCAGGAATTTCCAAGCCAGAGATACTTTTTTTTCTTTCCCCCAATTGTTGTGGTTTTTTGTTGAGGACAATGTTTCATGTCCTGCTTATACTTGTCTGAAGTGTCATCTCATAATAGTTATTATTATCATTTTTCAAAATATGGTGGCCAGTGATGCTAAACAAGGAGAACAGAACACTTGAGATTTTCCTACCTATTACCAATTCCAGTTCAATGTGATTTTCCTGCTGCACCTGTCCCTCTCTGGTATTTTCCCAAATCCAGGATCCAACAGAGCCTTCTTTCCTTTATTTATTTGTTTTCTTTTCTTTTTGAGATGGAGTCTCATACTGTCTCCCAGGCTGGCATGCAGTGGTGCCATCTGCCTCACTGCAACCTCTGCCTCCCCAGATCCATACAATTCTTCCTGCCTCAGCCTCCTGAGTAGCTAGGATTACAGGCACCACCACACCTGGTTAATTTTTTTCTGTTTTTAGTAGAGACGGGGCTTCACTGTGTTGATCAGACTGGTCTTGAACTCTTGACCTCATGATCCATCCACCTCAGCCTCCCAAAGTGCTGGCTTATTTTATTTTTTAGAACCCCATCCTCTCCAGGAGACCCCATCCAATCATTCTGCTTCCTCCTCCTGTCCTCTCCCCAGGAAAGTTCTCTCCTCTACCTGTGAGTAGTAGTCTTCCAGGTGATATGCAGTGTGTAGGAGGCACTGAGAGGGGCCCCATGGCCTCTTCTGCCTGTGTGTTCTCCTCTGTGAGATGGTATCAGATCCAAAATAATTTCCGAGCACAGCTGCCAGCTGTGTGCTGTCCTTCCTCCTTCTGTGCTGAGCCTCTTCCCCGGGGCAGGAGCACTTCTCAGGCTTATGGGCGGGGTCTGAGCCCAGGACACTTCTCTATCCCCTCCCCTCTCAGTACTGCCTCTTTGTCCCTCCTTCTCTTTTTCCTTTTGTCTGTGTGTCAAGTCCCTGGGAATTGTGGAGGCCTCTACATTTCTCATCAGTGATCTTTGTCACCAAACTCACACACTGTGCAAAACAACAAACATACACAAAAAGAGACGCGCACAGACACACAGAGTCACACATATTCTGTAGGTTGGGCAAGTGCTGTTTGGCCTCAGCTTTCCTACTGACCCAGTGGCTCTGAGTCGGGTGTACATTCACACCCTTTGCCCTCTTTCATCCCCATCTGGCTCTCCCCTTCAGTGCAGGAGGCTAGAGCTGCATCAGGTCCCTGTTATAGGGACACCACATTGTGCTGTGGGTGAGCTGTGTGTTGCCTGGTGACTGGGACCCTTCCTTTCTCTAATTGTGTCTAGCTTGGCTGCAACTTCAAGGATAGCATTCAGGACTCATCAAATACGCATGTGGTGTCCCAGGAGGAAACTGTCTCTTCCTGGAGGTGCAGGGTGAATCTCTGCCTCCTGGGAGGAGAGGCATGTGCTGGTTGCTCAGTGGGACTGTGGATTCTATAGTCAAAGGGACAGTTCTCAGTCACTCTATTGCTCCCTTGGGACTGGTGGATGGGTTTCTCATCTCTTCCTGACCATCTTGTGTCCTCTTCCCTGGCCGTCTGATTGTCCTGTATTACCACCTTCCCGTGGTGGTGCAGGAGGAAGTGGAAGTTACCCAGGAACTGTGGAACATGGCTCCTGAGATACAGGAAGGGGAGCCTGGGACAGAGCAGGAGTTCAGAGCTGGAGAGATTCATCCCGACTTACGCCATTGTCGGATGGGCTCAGCTCCTCCATGTGCTGACATACCCAGGGGTCTGTCCTGAGGATTTTCACTCTGGCCAAGATGTTTCTCTGTAGAGGAGGAATATGGCAGTCACCAGAGAGCCTCTGGAGGGACGTCACAGCTGAGAAGGCGGGTGGGGGTGAGTTGTGTTCTCGGAGCTAAGAGCACACACCCCTTCTACCGGCAGGGACACAGGAGAGGTCTGTTTCCTATGGACAGTCAGTAGGTGGCCACATCCTATGGTGCCTGTGTGTGGCACATCACATGCGCTCTGGGCCCTCACGAGGTGCAGCGGGTAAGCAGGTCACAGGGTGCCTGACCGATTCCCGGGAGGCTGTGGGCCCTCAGGCAGCCGCTGTTCTGTGTCAGCACTAGACCTGGCCTAGTATGCCCCACAGAACAGGACAGATGGAGTGTGAGGTGGGCATTTAGGGGAGCAGGACAGAAAGAGTTGATGAGGATGGAGGGAGGTCAACAGGAAGGCGACAGTGTGGTGTCCCCAGACCAGCTGCCTGGGAAATGGCCTTAACTGAGCCCAGGAAGGAGAAGGTGTGGGCAGAGCTGCCTGCAGAGGGAGTGGTGTTAGGTTGGCAGCCACCAGGTCAGGGAGGAGCTGACAGCAGCCTGGGTGTGGGGAGCATGGGAGGACGCGAGACTGGGCCAGGTGACCCTGGTGAGGGTGGACCCTGCTTGGCCATGGGCCCTGCTGGAGGGTGATCGGCATCCCTGGGAAGTGCCTCCAGGCTGAGGGATTCTGCCGCCCTCTGTAGGAGTGGAAGGGAAGGCGGTGGTTGAAGTCCCAGGCCAGGCTACCTGTTTTATTCCGCAAGGATCTGCAAGTTTCAAAGGAGGTCACACATATGCTATGTTACAGCTCCATCACCTTCCAGCCCTGAGTCCCAGTCTCTGTGGCTCTACATTCACTGTTCTCCTCTTCACGATCGGATGTCCCGAACGCAGATTTTGTCACGTTCAGGAGTTTGTGTGTGTGTGCAGTAGAGGCTACACTGTGTATACCCTGGGGGGTGATGTCTGGGGCTGAGCACTGCACATGGGCTTGTGAACAGAAGATGAGCAGGGCGGGAGGATCAATGTCAGGGGAGTAGGGACAAGTCATTTTCATTTTTCTCACTCCTCTAGGACCAGAACTTGTGGATCTCTGACTCCAGGGCACAGTACCACCCGCTGGTGTCCTCGATGTCATGAATGCTCATAGTGTCATGTTGCCTTGGCATTCCTTTTTTAAGGTGTAAAATTTATTTGGTTTCACATCAGAGGCAGGCCTTGCTCACCATGGTACCTTTTCAATACTGTATCTGCTCAAGGGATGTGTGCTGGTAACAGTGATAAAATCTGAGGCATCTCTCCTGCTTGGTGTGCTGGGCCTCTCTCCATCTACTTTCTTTAAACTGATATTCAGACATTTGCCCTTACATTTAAAGACCACTTCTCAATCACAGCATGATCTCCCTGGTCCCAGTGTTTGCTGTTTACCTAAACACATCCATTAAAGCTCCTGCCAAACCTGTCAGACAACACATGACTTACTAAAGACATTGGCTTACTCTGGGTCTCTTTCTTCCTCCTGCCTGGGCTCACTGACCTCTTGTATCTGTGTCCCAGGTGTGGCGAGTGCTCCCAGTGTCTGTAAGCAGTAAAAACACTTTACATTTTCACATTGTGGTTCTATCATTATAGCCTCACATGCCATCCAGGGCCTGGACATCGAGGCTGACCCTGTGGACCTGTACTGGTTGAACTCCCCTGCTGGAGTTCTTGTTTTGGGACCTGCAGTTCTCCTGGGGACAGGAGCTTCCAGCTAACTTGACTGAAAAAGTGATATGTTTCATGGAAAACACTGGGTCAGATGATGTATTCATGGACTTCAGCTGCCATAACAAACACCTTAGCCTGGGTCAATTAAATAATAGAATCACTCTTGTACAGTTCTGTGAATAATGTGCTTCTAACTACTTTAAAATGTGCAATCAAATGCAATACTAACTACATACACAGTGTTAAGTTACCATCACCACTACTTTTCCTAAAAATTTTTATCATTTTAAACTGAAATTTTGTATCTTTGAAACTATAATAACTCCCTGTATTTTCCACCCTAGACCTTGATCATCTCTACTCTGTCTCTGTGAATTTGCCTATTCTTATGTTTCACACAATGGAATTATATATATATATATTTAGTTTCTGATATATTTACTTAGCATAATGTCAAAGCCTATGCATCTTCCAGCTAGATGTCAGAGCTTCATTCCTCTTCATGGCAGTTTAAGATTCTGTTGTATGTGTGACCACATTTGTTTATTCATGTGCTGATGAACACTTGGATTGTTTTCATATTTTCTCTTTTGTGAGTAATGCTACAATCAATATCTCCCATGCGAGTACCCTTCAGTCCTTGGATTCAATTCTTTGGGTATATACCTAGGAATGGATGCTGTTACACATGAGAATTCTAAGATTAGCTTCTTGGAGGAACAAGTGTTGTAACTATTTCTCCTAGTGGCTGCACAGTTTATAATCTCACCAGCAAATGTAAGCAGATTCCACCTACATAAGGCTTTCACTATTATTTAACATTTGAAAAGAATGGTAGCCATATTTGTAGGTATAGTGTGGGATCCCATTGTGGCTTTAACTTTGTATTTTCCTAATGACTAATGATGTTGAGTTTCTTTTCATGTCCCTCTTGATGATTTGCATATATTCTTTGAAGAAATGTCTATTTGCGTCCTTGTCTACTTATATAAATTGGGTGGTTTGTCTCTTTGTTATTGAGTTGTAGCAGTTCTTTATATATTCTGGGCATGAAACCATTGTCTCTGTGATTTACAACTGTTATGTCTCATTCTGTTTGGTCTTTTTATTTTCTTGATAATATCCTTTGATGCACAAAAGGCTTGCATCTTTAGCCCAATTTATCTATTTTTCCTTTTTCTTTCTCATGCAATTGGGTCATACCTGAGAATCCATTATACATTTATGTCATTAACTTTAACTTTTAATTCTACAAGTCTTTTTCTACTATGTTTGTAATGATAGATCTTACAGTTAACTCACTCATCCATTTTTAGATAATTGTTTGATATGGTTGGAAGTATAGTTTTCAAGTTTATTGTTTTGGTATGTGGTTATCTAGTTGTTTTTGCACTATTATTTGAGAGGATAATTGTTCCTCCATTAAATTATCTTGACACCCTTATTCAAGAGAAATGAACTATAAAGGTGAGGGTTTATTTCTAGACTCTCAATTCTATCCCTTTGGTCCCTATTTGTATTCTTATGCCAGCAGTTTCTGTTTTTAGTACTTGTAATGTTTTGTGAGATTTCAAATAAGAAAAAGTTCAAGCTCTGCAATTTATTTTGGCAAAGTTGTTTTGGCTCTTTCAGGGGTACTTTTTTTAACAGCAAGGAGGCCAATGTTTTTAATTGCTTTTCACGCATTTTGGAGGGGAATTTTGCAGTCTAGGATCTTTCAGGAACTTTATCACAAGTAGGAAATTATCACCACTTCTTTGCTGAGGGTACTGGGTTAAAATGTGTGTTAAGCCTCGCTGAGGAATTGAGACCCTGGAGCCACTTGCCTCTGTGGTGAGACAGTGAGCTCCTTAATGAGGCGGCACAGAAGACATTGTTTGGGGACACAATGTTGTCAGGGGAACTGTGTGCCTCTCTACTTCTTTATATTTTTTTGTGTGCAGTTTAGATCTCAAGGACACACTAGATATTGAAATCTTTGTTGATTCTCTTGGTTCTGGGTTAGCTGACCAGCCGCTGGAGCTGGAGGACATGCCTGGAAGGAAGTGAACCCCATGGGAAAGAGCAGGGCTCAGCAGAGTGAAAGCAGCTGAGACCCAGAGAAGCCAAGGAGGTCTGACTCTTAAAAGCCAAAGACCAGCAGGTGGGGTGTCTACATCGGCTGGGAATGGACTGCACTGGTACCCATTCAAGTAGACTGAAAAAGGT